CCCCCCCCCCCCCTTGCCGCAGCCATTTCTGATCCCAATCATGCGGCTGCGCCCCTTCCGCCTGCGGTGTTGAAGGCCTGGCACCGTGTTCCTTCAGGGTCTGCCGTTCGACCGAATGGTGGACCAGATAGCACGACGGATCCCTGGCGGTCGCGGAGGTGGTGGGATGCCGATCCCCGTCGGGGTGGGCGGGGGGGGTGGGCAGGACGGAGAGGACGCGGGGGGCGAAGGAGCACGAGCGGAAGGGGGCGACGGGGTTGCGGCGGCGGCGGCGGCGACTGGAGGCGCGGGAGAAGGTTAGTAGCAAGTTGTATCTCGGCCCAGAACGTCCAAGGGGGCCCCGTGGGATCAACGGACCCCGACTAGTAGGTGCACCCGGTGGAAGTCGGAGCAACGATGGGCTGAAAGAATACTGCAGCAGCGGCGAGATAAAGCCCCGTGCGGCATGCTTAAGTGTCATGGTCAATTCGTGAGATTCGTTGCCCTCGCGGTCATTCCGGTGAAATGAGCAGTGAATCAATCCACACTGGCATGCTTGAAGCCGGTGCATTTGGCGAGAACACACGACCCCCCCAAAAGAATATCAATGACGCTACAGCATGTAGAAAACGTCAACCGATAATGCTCCCAAGATGTAGACAGGCCCGCATCACACGCACCCCTCGTCTTTCCCTCCCGCCTTCTGGTCAGAATCAACAACGAGCGCCTCCGACGCGGGGACGGATAGCGAAGCGGGCAGCTCGAACGACTTGTTCGGGGACGCGGCCCCGCCGACGTCATCGGTGAGTCGAGTCGAGTCGAATCGAACCGCTACCCTTGTTTGCTTGTGCCACTACCCCGACGCGTGCTGGCGCCTGCCTCGTCGAATTGGGTCTCGCCGTCCCGCTCACTTTATCTAGGTGAACATGTCGGGGCTGCCCCACGCGGGTTGCTGGCGTTGGTTTGGTAGATGGCGATGTGTCGAGTTTTGAGCGGTCCGCCCGCATTACAAAGGGAACGGAGGTTGACGAAAGCGTTTTTTCGTCATCGGGAGCTTTGGTCTGTGTTGTCCTTCGTTGGTGTATTCTTTCGAACGCGTTGGAGAAACGGCCCCCAATGGTGTTCTTGGCTGATCACGTCACTCTACGTACTGAAGACGTTCACTCGATTCTTGTCTCCGTCCCCCGCGCGGCCTCTGTACGGTACCGTACGGTGCTACCAAATAATAGGCTTCTGCGAGTTTCCCGGGGAATGAGCCTGCCGACGGGTTTAACGAAGCCGACGCCGGGTTCTCCGAGCCGCCGCCGGAGTCTGGGGAGACAGTGAGAGACGTTTTGATCTGACGAGGAGGCCGAACTTGTCTTGTGTTACGCGGCGGCTCTCTGTCGTCCCCGTCTGGAGAGGAGCGATAGATGCTCAGCGCTCTGGAACAGCGATTTTTTTTTTTGGTCGAATGGCACGTTGTGAGAGTGACATGTTTTTTCCGAGCCTCGACAGTTAACTGCGTTTTGCCATGCATGCCCGGTTAATTCTCCGCATCCGATACATGGACCCGTCGCTTTTATGCGCTCGCAGTTTGGCCACGTCCATGTTAACAACAATACTCTCCGTTCTTGATTGCGCCGCCAAAATGTTCATCAGACATGGAGTGAAGGTGGCTTTGATGGGGAGGACGCGGCAGGCGATGGAGGAGGTGGTGATGATTGGGGGGATGGGATGGGGAATAATGAAGAGGGGACCGGGGGAGGGATCGTCGGGACGCTCAAGAGCTTGTACACTCTCTTCCGCAACGATGATGATTTGGACGACGGAGACTACTAGAAGTTGTGTTTGTTTGGTCTGTCTCTTATTTGCTCGCTTGTTTTCCTCGCTGTTCTCCGTATTTGTAACTGGTTCGCTGATGTGAATGATGCCAACAACTTTAAGTAATCATGGGCGTGTTTTGTGGACGGCTTGCGCGCTGGTTTTGTTGACTCGGTTGTGCTTCGAACATCGGGCATATCCAATGTGGGGTCGTGCTATGAACGTCTGTGTTGGCTACAGTATTAAATAGGTTGAATTGTGACAGCTTGGTTTCTGCGCGTAGTCGGGGGGTATTTTTTGTTCTTCCGCCCTGTTGATGAACGACCGAACGAAGAACGGCAGGCTTCCCGTTCATGTGGTTGTACTCCGCATTGCACCAACCCCCGACTAGTGATGACGTGCCATTACAATGTATCGCTCGTTGGTGGCCATGTTTGCGTGGTTGCTTGTTCGTTAGTGGTCGCTCCACCGTGTGCCTTTTTCTGTCTCTCATTTCTTGTTATTTTCGGCCCGATCCCTTTTTGTCCTCGCTCTTTTTCATCATTTTCTCTTTCCTTCCTGTTTCCTTGTATTTTCCTCTTTTTCTCTTTTTTCTTCTCTATTTGTCTGTGTCAGATGGTCTTGTCTCTGCTTGCGTTGTGAAGTACCGAGATTGAACCAAGGGGGTGTGCCTTTTTCTCTCTGGCCCGTGATGCTGACTCCTAGTCTCAGTTGTTCCCTCGCAAAGGGCGCAGAGGGAGTGGAGGACTCCAGAATATCTGTCGTTGATTTCTATAACTTGCGGACCCCTCGGGGCCATTGTATTTGAGTCTACCTTGTTAGCCTGCGACCACGGGAATCGACCGCGCCGAGTGTTGGATCAGTACGNGCCTTTTTCTCTCTGGCCCGTGATGCTGACTCCTAGTCTCAGTTGTTCCCTCGCAAAGGGCGCAGAGGGAGTGGAGGACTCCAGAATATCTGTCGTTGATTTCTATAACTTGCGGACCCCTCGGGGCCATTGTATTTGAGTCTACCTTGTTAGCCTGCGACCACGGGAATCGACCGCGCCGAGTGTTGGATCAGTACGGACATACATACGGAGGTACTGGGTAAAGAGAGATCGGAACGGTTTTAAATGTGAAGACAACAACAACAACAACAACAACAACTCCGCAAACCGGTTCAGCTTGACAGTGGCGCTGGTGAACTTCCGGTCGAATCCAATCCAATCCTACTACTGTAAGGTACAGCAGTATACCATGTGCACCTCGTCGTCGTTTCGCAAAGATGGTTCACTGCTGTGCAGGAAACGAATCGCTGCACGCATCGATCGACACCGGTTGCATGCAGTGTTCTGGATCAATCCCCGAGGCTTTTGCGAAAATCCTCGGCAATTTTCGCAAGAATTGGAGGTCTTGGCCCACATGTGCTTGACTGCCGTTACCGCTAGTTTTTGTTTCGTTTTGCGAATGCATACATAAATTTGAACTCGCATAGCAGCACGACACAAAATAGGTTCTACTGCACAGCGCTCCTAGCCATGAAGGGCAAGCGAGGCATGAATACCTGTTCTCCTCCCTCCCCCCTAACGCACCGGCACGTATTGGTCAACGAAATCGCGGGGCACTTCACGTACACATTTATCGGTGCCTCGAGCGGCAGCACCCATCAACTCGCCATCATACACATCAAGCGACTTCCACAACCAAACGAAAGCTATTGTCTAGACAACGCAGCTTGATTTTATTTGCGCGCACCGCACCATCTTCCCGGCTACATGGACGCCCCCGACCCCGGCCCTGTGTACAGTAGAGGTAACTGTTCAGTGCCGGTATGTGCCCAGGGTTTTCACCTTCACTTTACCGGATCGGCACTGCTATCCAAAGCATTGAGAATGTCTTGAAAGTTCATCAGTGTGTGCCCGCCGAAAACATCGGCACTAAATCGGGCGCCGGCACTAATCACGGACTTATGTTGTGTTTTATTTATCCGCGTACTGTTACGTCTGTATCTTCTTCGTGTCGGCCGGGACACGAACCTGGCCCTGGCTCATTCCACGAAATAATAAAAACAGCAAGCTACTTGGAGCTAAGAACCCATCGAGCCCCGGAGCGCACTCGACAGAATGAACGCTTTGCGGTAACAATGAGATATGTAGATCAAACAGAAAAACATCAACCTTATAGATACCATACAGTCTACGTACACAGAACGCCGCCCCCCCCCTTTATTATAGAACGTACTTGTTTTCCACGCAGACACCAAAAAATAAAAAATGGGCACCAAAAAAAAAAACGCATCACTTGCCCCACAACAACGACGTTCCACTGCAGCTGTGGCCGTCATGACCACGAGGCACCACATCCACCCTTAATAGCAGTGTATCACCTAATCCTTGCCAGTACCCACGCCCGTCCCTTTCGAAGTGACTATCCAGGCTGGCCGAATAGCAGCGAGGGTGTTCGGTTCCGTGGTGCGTACACGGGGGAGAGCGTACGACAACCCGACAAAGGACGTTCTTTACAACAGCTTGACCGGCTCTTCTTGTCAAAACAGCTACAGGCCTAGACTAATCCCTAAAGTAAAACGACGACAGAGGCCCCCTCAAACACAACCGCCAGTTACAACAACCGGGCAATACCTTCGGAATCGTACTAAAGTACACTACGACCAAGTGCTTTTCGCCCCGAAAGATACACGCCTGAAGATGCCACAACAATGACGACCATCACTTGCTTGCACGCTGAAACGCCGGACTGCCCGCAAAGAATTGCAACACCCAATGACGGGTGCTAGGAGGTACCATACTGAGCTTCGACCGAAAAGCGAAGATAAGCTTCGACCGCACAGATTTTAACGCCAAGATTGTTCAACATGTTCAACGATAATAACACTTTCTCGCCACGAACGTACAACCAAAGCGGCACCCATCAAATCATTCACCACCAAGGTCCTATGAGCGTTCCCGACGTGTCAACACAACCCTGCACTTGGAGCGATCTGATAGAGGCCCCCCATCCCTCGCTCATTCCTTCGAATCGACAACCGGTCGCGCTTCCCCCGCAGTAACAGCCTTCGGAATGTCAGTGGAAAAACGGTCGTGCTTCCACCGAAGGGAAACGCCTTCAACAGCTCCAAAAATCACACAATCTCCAGAAAACTGCCGGCACTTGCTGTCTAGTGCTTCCTGCCTTGCCCCATGTACCCAAACCACGGCAGATGCGCATGCCAATCCACTCTACATGACCTTACCACCAGCTGCGGGGAAAAAAAACGGCATGCATCCTTTACAGACGACGCGATACATTTACACACCCAGTACACCCTTCCCTTCTTGTTTTCCGTTTCCTATATATAGGTCCCTTTTCCACGTAATGCCTCGTCGGGTCGGATCAAAAAAAAGAGAAATAACGTTTGCTCATACTCGGCGACAAAAGCTAAAATGTGCGCCATTGACCGCATTCCTCCCCGGCATATGATACACGTCCGCCCACAGCAGCACCCTCATCCCCCCTCTCTCACGCGATTGCTCAAAGCCAGCCCCACCCGTTCGTAAACGGCAGTGATTGTTCTCTTTCGATGCTTACGACTTGTGGCCATTTGCTTCAAGCCAACGTCAGCCGTTTCCACCACCACTCTGTTCAGGCTAACGAGCGCGTCGTGCATAACGCCACCAGCAGCAAGCACCACGGCATGGGGCTCCGCAAACACCCCGGCCGCCATGCTGTGCACACACGCTACAAGACTGGCATCTCTTTTCATTAGTCAGCCGGCATAACAGCGCGGTCGGTGCAAAAAGAACACACACACGAAGAGCGCGCAAATAAACACCTGGCCACGGCCCACGCATACCGTTGTTCGGAGATAAGTAGTAGCATGGTCGCATCGGTCTAGAAAACTGATCTAAGGCATCACTCACACACGTCTGTCTGTCTTTCAGAAAGGGACCAAATCCAAAACAAGAGGGCGTGACTCGCACGAAATCAAATCAAACCAACAACACTCACAGAGCATGCACGCAATAACGACACCCACGACAATAACAACAACAACAACAACAGCAAATCACAGCCATCCGGTGCGTCCGCCCATGGCCCTCGTACCAGCCCGCGGAGACCTCCCGGACCTCAGCTCCACGTCCCGCCCCGTGCGGCCACGCCCATGCCCGCCGCCACCACCGGCGCCGCCCTCGCCGCTGTTGCGACGGGCGGAACGACCCGCCGCCGCCGCCTGCCTCGACGTAGCCCCGGTGGCCGAGCGGGGGGAGGTTCCCCTAGCCCGCCCCCCTGCCCTCTCGGACTTCGGGGAAGAGAAAGTCCCGCCGCCGCCTCCGCCGCTGCTGCTGGAGGGAATGGCGCCGGCCCTGGCCAGCCGGGCGCTGATGTTGCTGGCCGTCGTGCTGGCGCTTTTGGCCGAGCGAGCGGAGCGGACGGACTGGCCGGAGCGGGCCGACTTGACCGATTCCTGCTTGACAGGCAGGTTGTGGGCGTGGCGAAGACCAAATATGTTTGTGGTACACGTCGTGAGGAGTTCGGGCAGGCCGGTTGATTCAGGGCGCCCTGCCTGCCACTCCACTACTGCTGTCATGCTTGAAAAAACAGTAAGAAAAGAACAACAACCCCACGAGGACGGTGCAGCACTAAACGGCTCGTAGAAAGTTATCGTCCCGAGAACCAAGTGCGTCAATGCTTCATTCAACGCACGTTCGACCCAAAGCATACCGTCATGCAAGGTAGACTTCCACCTTATCTAGCGTTCTGGTTCATGGTGCCACCCACGAACGATGCCAATGAAACCGACACACAAACAACCCCCTCGGAACAACCACGATTTTCCATCGGCGCACAACCCTCCCCCGTTCATGAGCAAACGCCTTGGAACGAAAGCAACCACTGTTCCACAATTAATTCCATGGAACGCGAGATGTGCATACCGTGTCGGACGTGGGGGTGCGAGCCAGGCCTCCCTTGGTGGGGATCTTGCCTCGGACGGACGCAAACACGTCGCCACCAGCCTGAACAACCGCACACCGACGTCGGACAGCGGGGTTGAGGAAGAAGCCAAACAACAAGACAAAAGCAACCAGAAATTGCTCACAGCAGCGTAGCTTTTGAGTTGAGGGCACCACGCGTGCCGCGCTTCCTACTTCTTCGCATCATCGCCACAACGCGACCGAGGAACGACCGATAACCAAACCACCACCACGTTGCCAGATGGAACAGCAAGCACGCAAATACGTTCGCCCCGGAAACACCCAGACATCCGATAACCATCCACATCGCAGCTGACGCCCACCCGCGTAACCGCTCACCGACCCTACGCCTCCGTCATCCAACATCAAACAACACCCGATGGAATCGCACAAGAGAATAAACTGAAACCGCTTCGTGGCAGCACACCCAAGGGCAGGAGACGGCAACAGTGAAACCGTCACTGTTTTCCGAAACGGCACAAAAGACAAAACGGCCTACCTTTCCGAGATACGCTGGCTACTACCCGGGCCAAAAAAACAACCGTAGAAAATCAGGAGCTAGCACTGCAGTGTTGAAGCGTACCTCGAGAAGCGACGGCGATCGATGGCATGTCCACCACCACGCCCCCCTCTACTGTCCGAAAACAAACATCGACACCAGCACCATAACACGCAAGACCGACCTGCTTCCTTGCGGCGAGGGCCTCGGTCTTCTGGCGGCCGGTCTTGTACCTCTTCAGCAGCCGCCGGCGCTCGGACGACCTGGACTTGAACCACTTGGCCAGCTCGCGCAGATCCTTCTCGGGGATGTCTTCCACGCCCCGAGGCATGAGCGAGCTGTCGAGGCTCACCTGGGGGTGGATATGATGATGGGGTAGGATCAGGGGTGTGGTGTGTGTGTGTGTGTGTGTGTGTGTGTGTGTGTGTGTGTGTGTGT